TTATTATTTTATTTAAAAAATACTAAATACAATTAAATTTTCCAGGCAAATTTGCCTGGAATACGGTTTAAGGAATATATACTTAGAGTATAGATAGAGATGCATATGGTGATTTTTTATTAGTAAAACATTATGTTTTCAAAAAGTACTTTAAAGTATATTATCCAGGAAATTGATTGATATTAGCCAATCAGGTGAATATCAGTCTATGAGGACAAAGCTAGAACAAAACACATCTGAAATGTGTACCAGGTTTGTGGCACAAATGTGGTATATTGCCTAAACTATGAATCAAATTTCAAGATCAGATGTAATATAACATGAGCAGAAAAAATGTTTGTTTTGTCAAAAGGTGCTTTTAGACATCTCCTGCAGAGAGATATATATCTCTGCTTGTCGGCCAATCAAAAACACGAATATCATGTGACGTATACTAACCTGGATTATGTGAAACAATTAATTACATATAATTATATGTAACAAAAACAACTATCTCAGAAATAAACCCTGACTAAATTTATTTCGAATCCAATAAAAAAAACAAATAGTTTTTTGGCTGACCTAGTTAAGTTGTTGATTTCAGCATGATCAATACATAACTGATAAGTTACAATTTATATTACGTTATATACATATAGATTACATTATAATATATATATTTCGCACAGACTAAATACACTACAATAATATTGGCAAAATTTTTGTAAAGCAGATCAATAATCATGTGCCATTGTATTAATTAATGTAAAACTTATATACATATGTACATACGTATATACATATAATTTGTAATTTTATTGAATTTATTATCCAATTATCTAGTACAATTTCATACTCTAATATAAGAAAAAATTATATCTGGATCAGATGATTGAATAATGATAAAATGGCTAATTGGCTGCAAAGCAGCCAGTTAGCTATTCTGTCATTATTCATTCATCTGATCTGGATATAATTTTTAATTATTGCTCACTTTGTGAACAATAACATATACATATATTGTTTTAACAAAACTTATATGAACCTAAAGAGAAAAGAAGTAGTTATAAATGTAAATAAGAAAAAAAAAAAAAAAAAAAACCAAATAACTCACTGTTCCCAATGCTAATTCCACACTCTGGCGAAACCCTAATAGTGACAATACCCAAAGTAAAGAAGATCTAAAAGCGATAGCACCAAAGGTGACGAAAACTGAAAACAATAATACTAAAGCAACGAGAATCTAAAATCTTCACAAAATAACGAAAGACTGAATCTTTATAAATAATGGCACCAAGATAATGTAGACCTAAAATCTCTGCAAATGATGGCACTGAATTATAAAAGCCAGAAAACAGCAAAAGCCCAAAAATAGCAAAAGTCCAAAAACGACAAAAGCCAAAAAAATGGCGAAAGTCTAAAATCTCCACAAATGATGGCACCAATAAACGATGACAACCACAATGGTGACACTACTTAATAAACTTACAAAAGAAAGACAAGTTAACATTGATTCAAGCTGAGAAAAAAAAAGTAAATGAAAAGACTACTTATCTTACAAATCACGGTTCTATTCTATACTAGCCAGAAATATACCTACAAAGAAAGTATTAGATCAAAAAAAAAAACAAACAAACAAATAGTGAAGAAAACTACTTATCTTACAAAATCCCAGTTCTAATTTCTACAACTTGTTGTTATATGAAATTCAAATTTAGACACATGGTATTACAAACAGAAAATACTAAAACTACGTTATTGATATTTTTATTATAGATGCATCAAAATAGTAATTTTGGTTATCAAAGCGTATAAACATGTGAGTCATATGATACGCTCCAGACAATAATGAAGTTTTCTTATTAAATATTATTAAAAAAGAAAATTCTAAACCAAATTTGGAAATATCTTCAAGATTGCTAAAAAATTCTGTACCAAATTTAAAAACATCTTCAAGAATGATTTCACAATCAGAATATTTACAACCTGAAGAAGCTGTTGAAGAACAAGCTTATATTAACAAAAATATGCTAGTTCAAAATCATTCCTTCTTTGCAACTAACAAATATTAAAATAAAGTGCTATCACAAGTAAATCTGAGAAATGCTGAAAAACAAGTTTATATCAACATAGATTAGCAAGTTCAAAATCATTCATCCTTTGCAGCTAACAAATATCAATATATAATTTACCTAATAATAATAAATATAATTAATAAATTATAAGAATTCATCAAATCATAATATTAAAAAGTTCATTACTAGATCTGTATAGGAAAGGCCTTTTAAAAAATATATTGATATATATGACTATAATACTTTTAAAAGTTATCAGTCTAAAGTATAATTGTTAGAAACTTTTATTGCTACAAGCCTTGAGATACATATGGAATTCTTAATAGCAGAATCTAAAGAAGAAAATCTTGATTATAATTCTATAGTTCTAAATCATATCAAAGAATTGGATAGCCTTACTATTAATTGTAAATTTTTAGCTACAAATCAACTTCAATATATGAATCAATTGAAACTTAAGTAAGAATAAAAAAGATTAAAGAAATAATTTATATAGCAATAACATATTCATATACTACTATGTAAAACTTGCAGTTAATATAGTTTTTATATGCAAATATTATATTAATATATTGATAATATTATCATAATTATATACAATATTAATTCTTTAAAAAAGCTTAGAAATTTTACATTTTATATGTTATATATATTGGTAATAAATAGATAAAGTTACTATAATAATATCATAATATTGTTGCTTTATAAATACTTAAAAATCTAGTATTTATATATAATATATATTGAAGCGAATTGACAAATTTACTATAATAATCTTACAATATTATTGCTTTAAAAAAAACTTAGAAATTTTGCATTTGTATGCTATATATATTGGTAATAAATTAATAAGATTACTATTATTATATTACAATATTGTTGCTTTAATAAAGAGTTAAATTTTGGTATTTTTTAGGTTTAAATTATTGCAAATATTTCAAAAATTTAGGCTCAAAATGTAATAATATACTAAATAATGCTAACTATTAGCAAATAATTGCATATTCTAAAATTGTCAGATTTTTGTAAAGTTTTTTATACTTGATTCAGTTAAACTTACAAACAGAAGTTTTAGTACTAGACTTATTATTCATAGAAGTTAATTCATAATTATTCATTTTCAGATTATTTATATTAGAATTAGGTCTATACTCAAAATTATACCCAAAATTAGTTAATTTATGAATATTTGTTTCTGAATCATTTGTATCAATATTATCAAATTTAGAATAAAAAATTAAAAAATATATTAATAAATTTTTTACCTGTTTTTAATTGCATATCTTGATTTATTTTTAAATCTATACTCAGAATTATACCCAGAATTAGTTGATTTATGATTATTTGTTTTAGAATTATTTATATTAGAAATATTATTATTTTTTTTTTGGTATTAAAGTGAGGCTTTGCTTATATCTTTATTAATAGTTTTTATTATCCCTTAAACTATAGATTTTAGCAGGCAAATTTGGCTGCTAAAATTTTAAATTTTTGTTTATAATCTAATTTTGT